GCAGTAGGAGTATGTCTACCAAATCGATGTGCGTAGACACAAGATAGCATTTATGTCTCATCGCCTGAATACAGGTTTTCAATTATCAAAGACTGAAATTCCATGGTACCGCAAAGTTATTTCAGGGTCCTATCCGAAGCTAGGAGCTCCATCAAGATTGCTTGAATTCGTTGGTGATTTTGATCTATCAGGCGGAAGTACACATCCGGACACGCGGAACCTTTAAAGGCTCCCTCGGTCGTATAACTTATACTTAACCCGAATGGTTTGGCCCTTTTAATGTCATGCGTTGCAGCTACCGAAATAGCTTTTTTTAAAAAGGAGTTAGTCAATCTGCCAGAAAAACGAGTAAGATTGAGATTTCTGTCACTTTCTTTGGATAATATTTTCTGGTAAGTGTCTTCTTATGTCAAGACGGGCACCTATTTACACTGCGGGTCACGTTCTCCCTACAATATGTCCACTGTAGGCGTTGTGCTTAAAATTGCGTTGTCCTCGACTTCTGTTTGAGTGTCGAGTTTTTTGACAACGACCATGATTCCCTTGGTAGTTATGTTAATTTTTCGCGTACAGATTTTACGTTTCAGTCCGTTTTTAAGAATAAGAAGCCTTGAACTGGACGTACAAAAACAACTTTGCGTTCCGAACTTTCACAGGTCAATTTATGGATGAAAAGAAGTTTCAGTGGACTATTGCATCCCGATAGTGTATGTGAAAATTTTCTGTTAGAAACTGCTTGAAAGAATTGTAAGATTTGATTTTGGTGCTAGTTGCCGGAAATAGATTATTCGCGGTAGGCTCCTTGGGTGTTGAGGTTTCTATGACTTTGGTCAAAATGACCAACCATATAGACAGTAACTCGCATTTGATGGTAACTGATCTTATCATAACCTCCGCAGTCACCAGACCCGTTTTCTGATCCTTTTTGGAGATAACGAACAAAGCCTACAGAACGGCATATCAAAATAACCTCAGTTCAAAAGATTCTGGTTTCTAATATTCCCTTACAACACTAAAACCAACTGCTGCATTCGACTTGGCTCGGTTATTAATCCAAATAAGAGTTACTTGAGACTAATACTTTTCGAACTGAACTCTACCCATACATGGCTGTCGAGAGTCACGTATGAAAATGTGCAAAACTTCCACTTAGTTGATTAAGCGCAAATGCCCTCTGGCTGACGCAAAGCGCTCGGAACTTTCTAATTCAGGTTCACAAGGAAAATGCAATACTTACCTCTTGCAGAAACTCCATCAAGTATTTTAGCAAGCGGTAGTTATCCTCTGGCAAGCGAGAAGATATCAGATCCCTAGCGGACTCAATTTGCATGGTTGGCGTGAAGTCTGAAATGAAGTAGTCCATATGTCAGGGTTCACGTGACAATTGGCGGAATGGGTGACAGTAAAATTGTTATACCAACTTAAATACCCCTTGCCCCTAGTCATGCCGTTTCTTTTAGTCCTATTAGTTGTAGTTTTTAGTTAATTATATTGAAATACTGGCATCCCAAGATATTAATTATGAGAATAATTCGATGCGGACCAACCGGTCGTCTTCAGAAGTGGAAAACTGCGCAACAAACAACAAAAAGTTTCAAATGTTCGGAATATTGATTTTCTGAACGTTTAAAATTTTTAGTTGTTTGTTGCAGTTTTCCACGTCTGAAGACGACCGGTTGGTTCGCGTCGAAAACTTTGGAAATAAACTTCGACATTTTCCAAAGGAAGCTTTATTTTCATAGTAAATTATATAATTTATTAGTTTACTTTTAGGTTAACTTTGGTTTAGTTAAATACCGCAAACTATGATATACTAAACTCTTCCAACTAAATAAAAACCAAACTAAAAGTAAACAAATAAACATAATAATACACTATCAACTTAACTTATACCACTCGTCCCGTAAAACAGATTTCTGGGGCAATGGGTACCTAAGGTGATAGACTAACTTTATTGTTAACAAAGAATGTTATAAAATATGCTCGATTGTGGCGAAGTTAACTTCTTCTAATCTATTATCCACTCTCTCTCTCTCTGTACATAATACACAATTCTTTCCACCTAGCGTCTGACTTATATCCACAGTCGGAACCGGGCTTGAAGATCGCAGCGGCAAGGGTTTTATTTATTAACCTAACCCACTGCGATATCTGCTCTCGCTCCCGTGTCTTCAGGCTCCGAAAATATAATGATGTCAGGAGGGCCTAAAGGCGAGAGTTGATAGTAAAAAAGCATGACCACACAGAAGTCGTTACCTTTTTCTGGCCCCAGATGCTGATCTGTCCGCATGAACCACCTACGGCATCTTGGGTTGCTTACATTTTCTTTAATGTAAAAGGATAGATGTGAGTACTAAATTCTTTTAAATCATGAATAGGAATAAAGTATAAAAGCTGACATACAGTCCTCAACCCGCTGACCGTGAGGACATCCCCCCGGTCTTCTCTGCGCATCGCAACCAACGTCATACAAGTGCTGGTGACCACATTCGGGAAACGAGGGAAAACCCAGATGCTTTATTACACTCATCCATCCACTAACCCCCTTCCCGCCTTCCACAACTTGACGATCATATAAAAGCTGCAATTAAATGACCATTTTTATTACCCATGTCATGTACTGGCCTGATGATGAATGACCGAAAACAATTACTTGCCAATAGGACTTCTTAACCTATATGTATAGAATATGACCATGCGTTAACGTGCCTCTCGTTATATACCTACTTTGCTCTAGTCACTCCTCTTTAAAAGTGATAGCGGACTTTCGATGCATCTTCCTCACCCCCGGGGCCCAATGTGCGGACAGAGGTAGGCAGACCGAAAGCTAGCCAACCCATCTACGTGGGTCATACGCGACCTGGTCTTTGCACACATGGCCTAGGAAATCCTTCGTTAGCATGATTACACGAAGAATATATGAAATTGCAAGAAACGGCTCTAATCTCTCCGATGAAGAGCGCCTAAGCTGCACACCTCTCAAAC